GCCATATCGCCTTCTCCCAGGGCCAGTGCGCTACTTGCGGCGCGCAACGCCTGCTCAAGTACGCGCAACGTACCATATGCTGCCGCTATGCGTGCCTTAAGGCGGCTGCGGCGAAGCGGCGGGCGCGGCATGCCGATGGCAGTGCGGACGATGCGGTTGCGATGTGTTCTGCTTCAAGATCGTGGCGGTGCTTGGCATGCACTTCTGCGATCCCAATCAGCTCATCGCAACGAAGCAGCGCAACAAGCTGGCTGCTGCCAACAAGGCCCTATGCTACCTCACGCGCGGATCGTTCAAAGAGGACCAGCATACAGAGGCTTCTCTGACACGCGTTTGTTTGAGCTTGAGGCTATTTGTGAGAACTGTTTGGCGAGAAGTCGCCGAAGATTGCGCTCAAGAAGCAGCAACGAGAATCGGAAGAGGAGGATGCTGAGGCGGCGATTGCTGAGCATGAGAAGGATCGATCGCCCGCCGCAGGCGAAGAAAATTTGGGGGCTGCGCCGTATCGTTGTACGTTGATCACGGTGGGAGCCTCTTGGCCCCAGGCCGTCCACGTCCACGGCCGACTTAGCCGATGTAAGAGGCTCCCGCTGATCTTAGACCGCGCAAGCACTCCAGCGTGGCTAGCCACACTTAGACCCGTTAGGCCTCCAGTCTCCTTACTTAGACTACTACCCAACCAGTCTCCACTCATCCCGCAACTCCCCGCGGGCCCAGGTGAGGAACAAAATGAAAATTGATGGGCTTGCCCATCCCGGAGTGGTTCGACCCCACGCAAATCCGAGACGGTGACGGGATGCTGGCTCTGTGGTCTCAGGCCCAGTGAGGTAGTGCACGAGACTATCCTGGATCCTGCTGAACAAGCTCCTCTTGTAGCTCGATCGGTCGCACCGCCATCGCCGTCGGGGAGAGGGGGGACGACACTGCTTCGGCAGCGTGCACCTCGATCCTGTACCGTGTTTGTTATGACCCCCCCCAATGAACACACCAGTGAGGGTGGGCGAGACGATCGAGGGGTCCCGTACCATGCGGAATCGACCCTATCCAGTGCTCAAGTGCTCAAGTAAAGCCGTACACCGGCCTCCGTTGACGACGCACGGGCAGACGGTCGGTGCTCGCGGACAGTCCATCTCGAGGATGGCCGCCCCCTCCCCTCCCCCGGGAGTGTCTGTAGATGTCTCGCCACCGCAAACGCCGCCGCCGATAAGAGCCAAAGAGGGTGGAGACGGCGCCGGGGCTTCCGCCGCCCGCGCAGCTGTCGGCACACGCCCGCAGCGCCAGCGTTTAGCCAGCTGTCGGACAACGAACCAGCCAGCTGTGAAAAAAGAAAGCATGGTGCGTGTGCCTGGCAGCGGGACTAGAAAGAAAACATGACAAGAATGTCAAGGACACTCACTCGCTCAAACTCACATACACATTGTCCACACATTGTCCTGTCCCTGTGTGTCGGTGCATCGCCGCGCTGCACGTTTGCGCACGATCGCGCAACCGATCAGACCTGCCGCTGCACCGACGACGCCTCGCCGCCAGAGACGTCGCGCGCCTCCGCAGAGCTGCGGCTGCTCATCTTGGCGAACACCCGGCTGAGGCCGCCAAAGCTTCGCTTCGCGAGGCTGGTGCTGCCCTCAGCGACGCTGCCTGAAACTAGCAGGTCCGCCCGCGACCGAGCGGGGGTCGCGCCTAGGCTCTTTGCCAGAAGCACGAGCGACACCTGCGGACAGGGACGACCCATATCACGAAAGGCAAAGCCAAAGTGTGGGAGAGAGGGCGCGCGCCTTGCGGTGGCGCCCCGGGAAGCACGATTTTGCCAGGTCCGTGTAAAGTCCGCCGGCGATGAGCTCCTGCGGCGTTGGGAGGAGAGGGTTGCGGGGGGGGGGGGGGGGGGGAAAAAAGCTCCTGACCGGCGCCCCTTTGAAAAATTCCCTCCTGGGGGGGGGCTTTGAAAATTTTGTTAAAACCGCAACCCCCCAGGGCCGGGGCGTTTTCCTGGGCCATGAAGAATTTCTAGTTGGCCTCCCGCGCCTGCTTTAACTGGTCGGGCAACCCCTCCCCGTCCTCCTTTAACCAGGGATTTTTATTTAGGTAAAAAAACATGGGGGTCAAATCCCCGGGGCGGGGCGTTTGGGGGGCCAACCCGCGAGGTGCCATGGAGGGGCGCGCTGATGCGGAAGAGCCAACGTCCGCAACGGTAGAGACGGTGAGGCCGGGAAAGGCCCTGGCAAGCTCGCGAGCCAGCTCTGCGGCGCCGGGGTTGGCGGGCGAGGCCCAGAGCGTGCACGGTTTGGAAAAGGCTAGCGACTGGCTCTCGAGCTCGCCCGACACGCAGAGCGGGAGGGAGGTCTTGTCCAGAAAGTTGGGCGAACAGAGGAGCACCGCCTAGGGTGGTTCAAGTGGGGTTGGTTGGGAGACGGAGAGGACTGCAGAGCGGCTGGCTGGCTGAGGCCGGCGGCGCCTCGGCGATGATCTTGAGGGAGACGAGCTGAAACTCCTCGATGCGATACCAGATCGTGAGCGGCCAGTCCTTTTCAAAGATGGCCGGCTGCAGGTCCTCGGGGCACTCGTCGCGCAGCGCCTGGAGCGTCCCGCCGCCCTTTGCAGGGTCCGCTTCTTGGACGAGGACGAGCGGCTTGTCCTTCTCGAGCGACGAGCGAACCTCTCGGAGGCAGTTCTGTGGCGCGGGGGAGGCGGGAGGTAGGGCCAGGGTGCGGTAGAGGCGGGGGGGGGGAGGAAGAGGCGAGCCTTGGAGCGGAAGTAGCCCCTCGAGAGGAAGAAGAGGATGGTCTGCGAGCGCTGGATGTAGTCCTCGAGCGCCCCGATATCCTTAAGATCATCTACCTATGAGAGCACACCACGGAGCGTCAGAGGGGCTGTGGTAGCTAAGCAGCGCTGCTGAGCGTGTGCGCACGTCAAGAAAGACTTTGATGTCCGGCAGCAGCTGCTCGAGCTCACCCTTGATGACCTTGACGGCGTCTTGACCGGTAGACCTATTCGTTTGGGTAAGGGGCGGGGTCACGCCGGCTGTTTTCGTTCCCTATTCTCCCTCCATGACTCACCAGATATGGCTGTTGAAGAGGTGCCACGTGAGGCCCATCACGATGCTCAGCTCGGGGGGCTGCTTGGTCGATACGAGGCGGATCGTGGGGACCTTGGCGACGCGACGGGCGGCGACGATGGCGCCGACGAGGAAGAAGGCGAGCACGACTGCAACGAGGATGATCATCGAGTCGACGATCACATTGAGGTTGCGGAAGCCGAGGACATCGGTGGGGTCGGCTCCCTGGTACCGCTCCTGGATGCCGAGGAAGATGGTGCTCCAGTTGGTGCCGAGGAAAAGGAGGAGGAGCACGAGGCTCGTGGCGACGGCGAGCACGTTGTCCTCGACCCGCTTGTACGGCCGCACGACGGCGAGCGCGACGGCGTAGCATGAGCAGACAAGGGTCGCCACCACGAGGCGAACAAAGGCTCGCTCCTCCGATATCAGCAGCACGAAGCCAGTCAGCACGAGCTTGCGAGCCAGCTCGACCGCCTCCCACCAGTACCAGATCTTCTCGTACTCCCGGTGGAGAAAGGCGGTGGCCCGCGTCAGAGCATTCGGCGTCTTTGCCTGCAGCGGCTTGTAGCAAGCGGCGAGGAGCGACGTGAAGAGGACCAGCGAGCCGGCGGGCCAGAGGACGATGAAAGCCATGGCGAGGGCGGTGATGGGTCCGTGATCGTCGGAGCTGCACTCGACGCTCGCGTCCTGCCGCATGTAGGACACCTGCCGCAGGGGCTCGTTTGGCGGAGAGGTGGTGTAGGCCTATCAGCAGAACGTTGCGAGGACTGAGGCAGGGTTGTGAGCAACGTTAGTCAGCTGTGAGAGGGCGCCTGGCACGACCAGGAGCGGAAGATGGAGGCGCTGATGGAGGGCACGAAGCAGAAGATGAGCACGAGGCCCGCCGGCGTGAGGTCGAGGAGGCCGAGGGCCGCCTCCGCGTACCACGGCCTCGCGCGCGGAGCGGCACGCCAGCGGTAGAGCCGCAGGCTTATTCCCGCGATCATTAGCAGGGCGATGAGGGCGACGGGGGAGAGGGCGATGGCGAGGAGCCGCAGAGCGTAGCCGAGGCACTGCTCCGGCATGAAAAAGCCAGACCAGTCGATGGAGATCACGTTGGCCAAGCTGTCCGTCCAGCCCGTGTACTTGGCCGGCAGCCGCGCGGAGTAGGTGGAGGACAACACGGTGCTGATCTGGTAGAAGCCAAACAGGATCTTGACCTTGGCCGTCATTCCGACCCCGACGTAGTACTTGACGGAGCGGTCTGCGAAGCGGAGGATAGGGCCGATGATGCGCTCCTCCCGCCACGGCATGTTGTAGGCCCACGCCGCCAAGCCGCACGCGACGCAGAGGCCGAGGACGAGGCCGACGATGCGACCCACAGCGGCGCCGCGCGGAGCGCATACTTTGCAGGTGTCGCCGTCGACGAGGTAATGGTTCTCTGCAGCGCAGAGCTGGCACTCGGGGCCTTTGAAGTCCGAAGCGCAGTACGCGTCCGAGCCCGCCTCCTCCAGCCTCCGGCGGCGAGAGGCCTCTCTCAACTCGCTGCCGGCGCATCGCGTCTCGCCGGCATTGGTATTGCCGCCAAAGAGACGGCACTCTGTCAGCACCGCGGAGGAGGGGCTGGCGCGCCAGAAGCCGGGCGGGAGGACGAGGGATGAAAGGGTGGTGTTGTCCGGGCAGGCAGCGTTCGGCGGGCAAGGTTTGCAGAAGTCGGTTGGGGATCTGAAGATGTCGTCCGGGTCGGCCGAACCCTCCCGCAAGTAGTAGTCGTCCATGCAAAACGAGCAGGTGGTGCTGCCGTTGACTGAGCTCAGGGGGTGAGGACATGGGACGCACAAGCCTTGGCCGGCGTTGGCGGCGTAACGACCAGCCTCGCACGCGTCGCACGCGATGCTGCCTTGACCCGACGAGGTGCCGGGAGGGCAAGACTCGCACTCGGACTGCCCCTTTTGTGCGGCGAAGGTGCCAGGGAAGCACGGCGTCGGCTCGATGCTGCCCGAGGAGCAAGCGCTGCCGGCGGGGCAGGCCGTGCACTCGCCCGCGTCGCTGAGGTTGGTTGCGCTCGTGTAGCTGCCCTTCTCGCACGGCAGCGGCGCCGCCGCGCCCTCGGCGCAGTAGCTGCCCTGCTCGCACGCGCGGCAGCCCGTAGCGCCCGTGTCGTTCTGGTACGTCCCGCCCGCGCACGGCGCGCACTCGGAGAGGCCGCCCGTGGCGGCGTAGCTGCCCTCGCGACACGCCGTCTGCTGCGTCGAGCCCGTGGTGGCGAAGTGGCCCGGCGAGGCGTCGGTGCACTCGCTCGCGCCGGTCGCGCCCTGGTAGGAGCCCTCGGCGCACAGCTGGCAGACCTCGTTGCGCGTGCCGCTGGCGAAGCTGCCCTCGCCACACGCCGTCTGCTCGGTGGAGCCCCGGGCGGCGATGTGGCCCGGATCGGCGGGCGTGCACTCCAAGGCGGCCGACAGGTCCGTCCTGTCCGAGTAGGAACCGCCCTCGCACGGCAGCGGCGCCGACGCGCCCGGCTCGCAGTAGCTGCCGTTCTCGCACGCGCGGCAGCCTGCAGCGCCCGTGTCGTTCTGGTAGGCTCCGCCCTCGCACGCCACGCACTCGGAGAGGCCGCCCGTGGCGGCGTAGCTGCCCTTGGCACACGCCGTCTGCTGCGTCGAGCCCGTGGTGGCGATGTGGCCCGGCGAGGCGGGGGTGCACTCGCTCGCGCCGGCGAGGTCGGTGGCGGTCGAGTACGACCCGGCGGGGCAGGGAAGGGGCACGCTCGTCCCCTCCGGGCAGACGTGGCCAGCATCGCAGGGCAGCGCCTCATAGGTCGCCTCTGTGGGGCATTGGGAGCCTGCGGGACAGCGGCCGGCGCAGCTGCTGCTCGACTGGTACTTCGGGTCGGCCGAGCCGAGGAGGCCGGCGGCGCAGGCGAAGGGGAAGTCTTCATCGACGGGCAGCAGTGGCAGCTGGTAGAGGCTCTTGCCGAGGAGGGAGGAGTCGTCCTGCCAGTTGCAGGGCTGAACGTTGGTCGCGTTCTGGCAGTACCACAACTCTGCGACGCGCTCGAGGCAACCCTCCTCCTTTTCCGTGTCGTGCCTGCGGCAAGCCGCCTCCTTCTTGTCCGACGAAGGCTCGATCGCATCGCTCTCCGTGAGCGCACAGTCTTCGCGGTGCTCGAGGCAAGCCGCTTGCTTTGCCGCCTGATAAGAAGGGTATGAGCACGCCTTCCGGTACACCTCGCATCGCGCGTTCGGCAGCCAGCGGCCGGCGGGGGCGGGGAGGGTGTAGGAGGCCTCGCCAGCGAGCAGGAAGATGGAGCTCCCCTGACCCTCGGCAGAGCAGCCGCTGATGAGGGTGCCGTCGCTCAGGGAGGTACTTCCGCCCGCCGAGTAGAGGCCGCCGCCAGACTCTGTGGCGATGCAGTTGGAGATGGTGGAGCGGACCAGGCTGGCTGAGCCCGAGGACACGTACACTGCGCCGCCTCGCGTGGCATTGCAGCCAGAGATGGTGGAGTCGGTCACGTTGAGGTCGGTGGCAACCGTGAATGTGGCTCCGCCGCCCTGCGGTGGCGAGGAAAGAGCGGGGTGAGGCAGCCGTGGCCCCTCTCGACCTCTCGCCCTCCTGTGCCGGCTGCAGGGAGGCTGCTAGCTCTACGCGGCGCACATCGCCAGCCGAGCAGCTCGTCACGGTCGAGCCGATTATCGAGACCGCACCGCTGGCCTGCGCGTAGACGACGCCGCCGTCCTGCGGTTGCGAGGAGAGAGCGGGGTGAGGCAGCCGTGGCCCCTCTCTATCTCTCGCCCTGCTGCCGTGGGCGCTGCAGGGAGGCGGCTAGCTCTACGCGGCGCACCCCGACAGCCGAGCAGCCCGTCATGGTCGAGCCGATTATCGAGACCGCACCGCTGTTCCTCGCCCTGACGACGCCGCCGTACTGCGGTACGTTGCGAGGAGGGAGCGGGTGAGGCAGCTGTGGCCCTGTTTATCTCTCGCCCCGCTGCCGTGCGGCGCTGCAGGTGGAGGGCTGCTAGCTCTATGCGGCGCACATTAGCCGAGCAGCCCGTCACGGTCGAGCCGATTATCGAGACCGCACCGCTGTTCCAATTCGCGTAGACGACGCCGCCGCGCTGCGGTTGCGAGGAGAGAGCGGGGTGAGGCAGCCGTGGCCCTCTCTATCTCTCGCACCGCTGCCGTGTGGCGCTGCTGGAGTGCGGCTAGCTCTACGCGGCGCACAGCGTCAACATGGCAGTTCCTCACGGTGGAGTCGATGATCTCGACGTCGCCTGCGCCTGAAGCAGCGTGCACAACGCCGCCTCTGCCCGCCCTCCCGTTGACGAGGGTCAGCCCCCGCAGGGTGAGGCTGCACCCGCCCCGGAGGTGAAAGAGCCTGGTCTGTCCCTTGCCGTCGAGCGTCGCGCCCTCGCCGCTGCTCGCGACAGTCACCTTGATGCTGGAGGTACAGCTGATCTCGCTGCCCAGCTTGAAGTCCGCACTGGGCGGCAGGTAGATTGAGACGCTGGCAACAGCCCCCTCGATCAGGGAGCGGAGATCGTTCTCGGTCGCCGCGGCGGCATCGAAGCCGGGGGAGAGCGGCGGCGGCGGCAGAAAGGGCGGCGAGGAAGGCGGAAAGGGCGGCGACGGCGGCGGCGACGGAGGCGTAAACTGCGAGAAGGAGACGTCGTCCAGCGCCATGTCCGACATGTAGTCCGGCCCCGTCCGGCCGTTGAAGCGCACCTGCGTCGTCGAGGCGGGCAGGACGAGTGCCGCGTCGAGCCAGGCGTCGCCCTGGTCGCCGGTCTTGCTCCAGAGCGTCGACCAGCCCGTCTCGTTGTCGTTTGCCTCGACGGAGAGCGTGCCCATGGTTCTACCGAGCATGTGGTAGAAGAAGGAGAGGGTGGCGTCCTGCTGGAGCGAGAAGGGCGGGCTCTCGAGCTGGTGCAGCTTGTTGGAGCGATATCCGTTGTAGTACGCCCTGGTCAAGAGGTAAAAGCCCGAGCCGGTGGTGTGGTCGCTGCTCGGGCCTGTGCCGTGATATGGCGCGGGACCGCTCCTGCGGGTCCAAGTGTACCCATCCGGCGCGGTGTCGTTCCAGATGCAGGTGTCGACCTCGAAATCGCAGCCCAGCTGCACCATGTCGGGTAGAAGAGGGGGCGAGGGCGGCGGCGGCGGTGGCAGCGGCGGCGACGATGGTGGCTGCGGCGATGGCGATGGCGGCGGCGGAGCGAGAGGCGGTGGTGGCGGTGATGGCGGTGCAGGCGGTGAAGGCGGCGCCGATGGCGGTGAAGGCGGCCGGGTCGCCCAGCAGATCTGACGCCAGAGGGAGGAAGGCATCAGAGAGGAGAAAGAAGGGGAGCGAGAGGGGCCAGGGGCGCGCCTTCCAGCCCGACCTGACCCCGTAGCCATCCGATCGCCACTCAATGACGCCGTCCTCCGCCACCGCGCCACTCGGCCCCGACGTGCCGCAGTACTTCGTGCCGTTGACGGTGAGATAGTCGTAGCGGCAGCCGTACGCCTCCACCTCAAAGGCGATCGTCTCCAGCTCGACCGGCGGCACGCCGCTGATGGTGCACTCCTCGTTGATGCCGTAGCTGTTCGGGTAGTTTGGCGACGCGGCGCACGAGCCGCCGTCGGTGAGCGAACACGGGCTGCTGACGTTGACGGTCTGGAGCGGCGCCGCTGGTGTGCCGCATACGCCCTGCAGGCAGACGAGGATCACAATGCCAACTCGGAGAGCACGCGTGCTGGCGAGCAAGGGTACAGAGATCGCTGCGTGGCTGCGGCCCTGCACACTCTTCTTCTTGACCTGCCCACGCAGCAGCTCAAGGCACGCCGCGAGGAGCAGCGCCAGCACGGCCGCACAAGGGTGGAGAAAGAGCAGGGACGCCGCCTCGATCTCTGAGAGGGCCGTGGCGGTCGTGAAGCACACAGGGGCGCCGCCGCCGCCGCACGTGACACAGACGGAGTTGACGGTGGAGTCGGCGAACGAGCCGTCGCCAACGATGGCCGCGCCGGTGGACTCGCCAAAGGAGGCGAGCTCGGCGTTGGCCGCGGCGCCGATGGGCTTGAAGGTGGTCGGGCCGGCGGCGCGTGAGTCGGCTCCGCTGAACTTGGAGAGGTTGAACGGGTAAGAGAAGGTCGGATGGAAGGCGGCGTTGCGCGTGTCGATGAGGGCACCCCCGCGCCGCGGAGGGGGGCGAGACGCGGCGTTTGAGGGCGCCGCGAGAAGAGCGAGGACGAGCATGACGGCGTGCAGCAAATGCAGGCGGAGAGAACACGGGCAAAAGAATTTTCCATCCTGGGCTCCGAGGCGGGCTCGCCGGCGCAGTGCGAGCGTGCGCTGCGGCAGGCGCGCCTCCCGGTCAAGCTCGGCGGGCTCGGCCTCACCTCCATGGTGGCGATCCGCGGCGGGCCGCGTGGGTCGGCACCTGGGCGCTCGTGTGGACGCCGCTTCGGCAGCTCCACGCGCCTTTCCGAGCCGTCGACATCACAGCCGAGTCGGCGGCTGACTTCCGCAGCTCACATCTTCACCGAGCTGCAGGACGCACACAGCACCCTCCTCGATGACTATGACTACGTGACGAGGACCTACGAGCAGTACGACCGCCAGGTCTTCGACCAGTGCAAGGAGGGCCTCGCACACTTCCGATTTCACCCCGACGGCCTCCCCGACCGCGACACCCACCTCCAAGGAAGGCTTGCTTTGATTCTGGCAATGAGCATCTACAAAACGCACAGCGTCGCTATTCCCAGATCATTCACCACACAGCATGGCTGGCTTTTGGAACGCGTTGCGCAGCTGCCGGGCGTGGCTAGGCGGGAGGCGGTGCGCTTCATCGCTGTCAGCCAGTCCCAGGCGGGCGCCTTCCTCAACGCCGTCCCCTCGCGCCGCGACTTTCGTATCCCGACGTGGGCGCTGCGCATCGCCGTCCAGCGGCGCCTCGGGCTACCACTCGACGAGGCGCTCGCGCGGGGCGCGCCGACCTGCTCGGCGCGCGGCGGCAAGGTGCAGGACCCACTGGGCGACGCGGCCAGCAACATCGGCCGCCTCGGGCACTGCGGCCGCCATAACAGCCTCCTCGCCGCCCTGGCCAAGGTCAATAGGTCATGCGGAGCGTGTGGGGCATGCTCGTCGAGGTGGAGCCGCGGGACCCGACCTCGGCTACTCTAACAACTACCGGCCCGACGTCTCGGTGGCGGGCGCCGGCCGCTCGCGCTCACGCCTCGTCGGCGACGTCAAGTTCAAGGACCCGCTCTCCTCCAAGTGCTTCACCCTCGGAGACCCGTGTTTATTTTACGGCCCTTTCCCTGCGAACGCGCACCCCCCCTAGGGGTCAGGGCTCTCTAGCCCGTAGCCCGATGCCGATCATCCGGCCCGCTGGGTGCGCTTCTTAGCTCCCCGGCCCTGGATGTGAGGTTGATGACCGCACTCCAAGTGCTCCAAGTGCTTCAAGCCCCCCTCCGAGACTAGGGACAGAACCACACCAGTATAGACCAGAGGGACTGCCCCCCGCCCCCACTTGCCCTGACTCACAGGATAGCGTGCCCCGATAACGGCGACACACAGCGGGGGACACCACGCAAGGAGGGGGTGCGAAGGCAAGATTTGGGTGCTAGAAAAGAAAAACACGAAAGCAACAGCCACGAGGTGGATACACCAGCCCTCCGGGGTGTAAATAATACCGGTGGTTCAACTCAACGCATGTTCGACAGCCCCTGACAGCTCCTGACAGGGCCCCTGACAGCCCCCTCCCCGGGGGATGGCTACCTAGCTGTCGCAGGAGATGAATAGTCTACCCTATCCCTATGTCCCTATGTTCCCACACACCCTGTGCAGTGGCACGTCTTGCCACCTAGACCACTAATATTAGCACCTTGGGCGCCGAATAGGCGCCCAAACATTGGCACGTAATAGCTCTCCAACTGCTTTGTTGCGCCGCGCGTCGTGAGACAGTCATATCCTCTTCATGTGCTAAGTCACAGCCCGGTGTCGTATGACGCCATTCCCCCAAACCACTTGGATACGAGATCCGTATACGAATCCTACAGTCGTCTGAGACGACACCCGGATCGAGTATGGCTTTGCAGCCTCATCCGCGATACAACAATACCGCAGAGCCGCGTGCGGCTCACCATCACCACACTTGCTGAACACCGACCTTCGGGTTCAGATGCCGATCCCTTTGCAAACGAGGGAAGAGGGACGCCTCGCGATACTACGGAGGGCCTCGAACAAACACGGTCAGACCACCCCGATCCCTACCACACTGTGACGTGGCAAAGTGTCTTTTTGCGCAGCGGCGCCGCCAGGCGCCCGCCCCGGCGGTGAGCGACGCGTAGCGCGTGAACCGCCGGGGCGGGCGCCTGGTGGCGCCGCGGAGCTCCTTTGGCTCGGCGCGGGCGGGGGTGCGAGTAAAAAGAAATTTACTGATAGCGAACTCGAAACTGAGCCTCGGCACACGTACTCCTAAAGTCTGCGCAGGTTGTCGGGGACACGATCCCGGCGTGAACACAACTAACTGACGGATCCGCTCCTCACAGTCGCACGCGCCGCGCTGCGGCGCGTGCCGCACGCGCCGCGCTGCGGCGCGTGCGACTGTCTTTGTTTGAAGTCAAAAGTCGAATCAGAGCGGTGTCGGCGTTGTCCCCCGATTTTGTCCCCCGGACCGCCCGTCCGGCACCGCTCCGGGACGCACGCCGGCGAAACATCATCAAGCTGCTGTACGGCCCCGGCATCGCCTTCACAGGCTTACTTAGCTAGACTGAGAGGATATTGTGCACATGGTTGATTTCTACAATATATACACTGACAGTGAACCTCCCGGAGCTCGTCCCGGTCCGTCACGGCCATCCTCGGCCTCTGGGGGCCCCCCGGCCGCGGCACGGCACGTCGGCGTCACAAATCCGACCACAGAGCACCGGGACGCGGTCGGGCGATCCGAGGCCCAACTAGGCGTATGCATTGCCTATCCAGGGCTATCACCTGGACCTATCAACAGGCGCCTGCGGCGCCGTGCTCAGGAGCTGCTGTTCACGCCGGTCCACACTTTCATAGTGGACAGTACTCGTATCTCATGCACTTGGAGCACTTGGAGTGCAGTCATCAACCTCACATCCAGGGCCGGGGAGCTGAGAAGCGCACCCAGCGGGCCGGATGATCGGCATCGGGTTACGGGCTAGAGAGCCCTAGCCCTGGGGGGTGCGCGTCCGCAGGGAAAGGGCCATCATCAGCAGCGTTGCGCCAGTGATCACCCGGCCATCCTGCAAAGCCCGACGCTCGCGGGTGGCGTTCGCTCGCCCGCCACCCTCAAGCCACACACGCACCGCCACTTCGTCACCTCGCAAAACACGCCACTACCTGGTCAGCCGTCTCGGGGGGGGCAGCTCGCCGCGGCTCACAGATTTTTATTCTCTGCCTACCCGGGTAGAGCTCTACCTATCCCTAGCGAAGCGAGATTTGCGCAGCAACCCGCCGGCAACCCTTCCAAAGAAACTTATACGCGGACACCAGAGCTAGCGCTAGGATACAGTTGTACTACTACCGGTGCAGTGCCAGTGCGCCAGTCCCGTAAACTGCGGGCTGCTACAGTGTGATTCTTCGGACCGCTTCAATGTCGTTGTCGCCGCTCCTCACACTCTGCGTGGCCCTGTGGATGCCGCCCGTGCGTGTCGGCCGACCCAGCCCGCTCGCCATCGAGGAGGACGCTCTCCGCGCTGCAGCCGCACCGCTCTCAAAGTACAATGGCAGCACCGACCTGGACGCGCCGCGCCTCCCGAGAGGCTGGCACGTCAACCGCGCCGAAACGGTCATTGGGCATGGCCGGCCGGCGTATGAGCGCGCCGCCAACGCACTGCAGCGACTCGAGCTCCTGGAGCACACGTGGCTCACCGCGCGCTGTGTCCGTGCGACAGACCGGGAGCTGCTGGCGGTGTGCTCTCGGCAGTGGGGCTGCGTCTGGCTCACAAACACGAACCTCGTGCTTCGACGCGAGTGCGGCGCGCGGCGGTCCAGCGTGTCCTGGGGAACGACGCGGCGGCATGTCCTCGCCGGCGAGGAGACTGTCTGCGTGACACACGACGCCAGCACCGACGGCGTGCGCTTTACCGTCCTCTCCTTCTCGCGGCCGCGCCACCTCTTCTCGGCCGTGGCGTACCCGTACGTGCTCGCGCAGCAGCGGAGGTTCGCTCGCGATGCGACAGCGGCCATGGAACGCGCGTGTGGGAATTCGCAGCCAGCGGGATGAACGATCGCACTCTTGACTGGGACGCAAAAGCGCCGGAAGCGCAAGCGGTGTGGCGTGTGTGTGGGGCTGTGCAAGGTAAGGTAAGGTAAGGTAAACTTCTCCACACACACGAGGTGGTGGGGCAAGGGGGCTGTGCACCTAGACCGAATAATGACCACGCACACGGTGTCACAGCCTGATTTTCGGTGTGCGGTCGCGCTACACCCGCGCTCGTAAAGTCGTACCGAAAGCGGGGATACAACCATTTTGACGGCTCCGCGCTCTGACTCTTACATCGTACCGCTGCGCGCTGGTGCTGCCCCAGCCTCCCGCCGCCTCCGCAGCACGTTGCCCAAACGTCGGAAACCCTCGACCATCGCCTCCTCCTCGGCGGCCGCGAACGAGACGCGCACGAACGGCGTGTCGGGCGGCGTCTCGTGAGCCGAGAAGAAGGCGCCTACCCCAGAACAGGCGGATGAGTCAATGAAATGCATCCTACCGCGGCGCCTCGTGCCCTCGAGAAGAGTAGTCGGCGCCCGGGACGACGCACACGCGCTCGCGCGTCATCTCGTCGAGGAGGTCGGCCGAGCTGCGCACGCCGAGCAGCTCGAGCCAGAGGAACATGCCTGCCAACACACGTAATGCATCATGATTAATGTACTATGACACAGCCCGCGCCAAGGAGCGTGCCTCCGCGCGGCGCCTCCCACCGCGCCAGGCCGGACAAGTGCTCGGCCGCCGCCGTCAGCGCGACCGCGCAGCGGCGGCGGTAGGCCGCCTGAGCAGGCGGAGGAGAGAGGGGGAGGGGGTTGGGGCGGTAGGCCTGCAAGGCGAGGGTCTCTCCACGCTGCGAAGTGTGACAGGGGCGTGGCTCTCCTTCGCGCCTGCGAGAGGGCCTCTCCCACTCTAGGCCCCTCCTCTCGGCCACATCTCTGCCAGCCCCGCCTGCACGCGCTGCACATGCCGGTGGAGCCCGGCGGGGCCCCACCGCCGCAGCATCTCGACGAGGAAGACCTGCACGGGCGAGGAGACGCCGAGCGAGGGGCCGGCGCCCTGCGCGAGCTTGACGATGAGCGGCCGCGGAGCGGTGACGAAGCCGCAGCGAAGGCCGGGCGAGACCCACCTGACAAAGGGGGGTGGGGGAGAGGGGGAGGGTTAGCGCCACCGCTGAGAATCACCGGCCGCGGGCCGAGGCGAGGGGCGAGGGGCGGGGCTCACTTTGAGAAGGTGTCGCAGCGCACGACTCGCCCGTCGGTGTCCACCGACAGGAAGGAGGGGGGCAGTCCAGCCCGCTCCGTGCCGGGGAGCGCCGCGCCGGCGTCCTCGGCGGCGAGGGGATCCTAGCGGAGATACACCCGCCGAGGTTGAGATTGGGCCGAGCTCACGCCGGTCGACCGCGGGGCGAGGAAGCTGCCTCTCCGCCAAAGGCGAGCATGCGGTATGGGTCGTCCTCTGAAGTGTCTAGGAAGTGTCTAGGAAGTGTCTAGGAAGTGCCTCTCCGCCAAAGGCGAGCATGCGGTATGGGTCGTCCTCGATGATGACCACGCCGTGCGCCGCGCAAGCCGCGTACACCGCCCGCAGCGCGGCGAGGCTCGCGCTTGCGGTGGTCGGGTTGTGGAAGGATGGGATGGTGAAGAGCGCCTGCGGGGAAGGCTCCGAGAAGGCTCCGAGAAGGCTCCGAGACGGTTCGAAGAGGTTGTGGAAGGCTGCGAAGCGCGCCTTGGGCGGCCGGACGCCCAGCCGGCGCCACGCCCACCTGGCGAGAGATGCAGGCGAGATACAGGCGAGATGAAGGCGAGATACAGGCGAGATAAAGGCAAGATACGGCTGGGATACGGTTGGGATACGGCCAAGCTTTGGCCGAGATGCAGCCGAGGTACGGCCGAGGTACGGCTGAGGTAGGGCTGAGGTACGGCCGAGGTACGGCTGAGGTACGGCCGAGGTACGGCTGAGGTACGGCTGAGGTACGGCCCAGGTCTGAGAGCCCACCCGTCCTGCAGCGCGCGATACTCATTGCCGTGTGTCAATTCTTCTGATGGATCTGGACCCGTCCAGCAGCGCGCGCAGCGCGGCGGCGTCGACTCCTTCCGGTCCGACGGGCAGCGGCTCGAGGCGGAGGCTGCGGCCGCCCACCTGTCGGCAGGTGTGCTCTTGAGCCACGGGTGCTCTGCCTCGCTGCAGAGGGTGCGGCCTCCCGCCCAAGCGGCGAGCTGCGAGGTCGAGAAGCTAAAGTCGAGCTCGCACACGAGGAGCGTGTCGCCTACGCCGCCGAGCCGCGGCCGAGATCTCGCCGAGAGTCCGCCGAGCTTCGCACACGGGCAGCAACAGCTCGTCGCCTGGATCGAGCAGCGCCTCCCACGCGCGCTGGAAGCCTGTTCATGGCTAGAGGCGTGAAGAGAGGCGCATCGCGGCTGGAGCGGCGCTTCCCGTCTGGGTGGCCGTCTGCGTTGCCGGTGCACACGCAGCACTCCCACCCCTGGTAAGGCGGCGCGTGCTGCTCTGCGATGTGTCCTCGCACCCACTCGAGGAGCGGCAGGTAGCCGACGGTGCCCACGCCCGGAGTCACATCGTGCATGTACTGCTGCGCCTGTGGGCCGATCAACCCTATGGTCACGAGAAGCGTGCAGCCTCTCCGGTCCGGTCTTGCTTCGCCTTGGCGACGAGCTGTGGCTCGTCGATGCGGACGACGCCGCCGTCGGCGAGCTCGAGCTGGTATGCCCGGACGGGGAAGGTGGAGGGGTGCGGCGTGCCGCCTGCCATCGGCACCATCCTGTCGAGCTTGAGCAGCGGCAGGAGCTCTCGCAGTAGCGCAGGCCGCTTGGCACGGGCGACCCGCGAGAGGCATCGCTCTATCGAGAATGACGGAGCGGCGCGCGAGCTGACACGCACACGTACGAGCCTCGTCACAAAGCTTAGCTGGCGAAGGAGCCGTGGATAGAGCCAGCTGAGCGAGACGCCGGCGACGACGCCAGCGCAGAAGGTGCGCATCATCTGTGATAGGTCAGCAGCAAGCGGCAACACGCTCGAGCCAGGGAAGAGGGGCTGGCCTGGCGTGCTGGCGGTGGCCCAGAGAGCCGGCGGGTTGTTTCTTTATGCGACGAAAATTTCTTTTTTGACCGGACCCCACACACGGTCTAGTCCGGCCTCGCGGTCGGCGGAGATTGCTAGAGGACGAGCAAGCCTGCTCTAGCCTCGCATATTACCTCCTGTCGTCTGTTGTGATGTTGTGCCCTTGTTTGTTTCTCTTGGCACCTTGGAGTGCTGGGGGGGGCGACAGGAGGAATGTGGCCCTGAGTTATGTGTACGCCAACTCAGGGTGTGTGGCAGCCAGCTGGCTGTGTGTCTTGTGAGCTTGTTTGTGTCTGTGTGTCGCTCGTGCGTGTCGTCATCATCTGTCCTGCGCGTCCACCCATACGCCATACCGCGTTGGTGTCCAGTCCGAGCCTGGCTGTTCTTCACCTTTCTACCTACCTACCTACCTATCTCACTGTCTGGGTGCCGTTGTGGCCAGACCCATGGGTCAGCTCGCTGTGCGTTCGAGCTCGGCGATCGCCTCCTCGACGGCCGCCCCCTCCCGCTCGTGCAGTCGCAGGCACAGCCTCGCGCGGTCACGCGCCGCCGCGTTGCCGGCCTCGTCCATCTCCGCCATGCCCTCGACGGCCAAGCAGGCGGCGGAGCCCTCCCTCTGCCGCTCCCGCTGCGCCTCCAGCGCGGTGCGGAAGACGTGTCGCGCCGCCGCCGCCGCGGCAGAGGGCGCTGTCGACGCGAGTGCAGGCAGGAGGACGGACCGGTCGGGGCTCACGCCCAACCGCACCGAGCTGCCGCGCAAGCCGCAAGCGGCGAGGGCGGCGCGTGCCTCCTCGATCTGCCTCGCCGACTCGTCCGCGTCGCCTCCCATCTCCGCCACGCTCGGCAGCAGCGGCACGACCACCTCGTCCGCCTCTGGCGGCGGAGCGCCTATGGGACGGATCCAAAGCCACTCCCAAGTGGCAGTGCCTGGCTGTCCGAGCGGCGGCGGCGCACCCGACACGCCGCCAACTCCCCCGCCTCCGCCGCCGCCTCCTCCTCCGCCCTCGCCACCGACGCCGCTGCCACCCCCGCCTGCTTCGCCGCCGGTGACCGTCGGCTCCTCGTCGCGCGGCGCGAGGAAGCCGTAGAGCCGCAGCAGCTTGTGCGACGCGCGCAAGCCGTAGTCGATCAGCAGCGGCTCGCCTGGCAGAGTACTCGCAGGATCCGAGAGTCGCCCGGGCAAGAGTTGGGCAGGACCGCGGAGAGAAGGCTGGGGCGGGCTGCGAGCGCCGCGTGAAGCTAGATCGGCTGGATCTCGGCTCGATCTCAGCTCGATCTCGCCCGCCGCATGTCGTCGCTGCGCCACCAGCTCGAAGCAGCCGCTGTCGCCGTCGAAGCGCACCGCCGCGCCCGCCGCACCGCCCGCCTGCGCGACAGCGGGCAGGGAGCACCACATCCGTGTTAGAGCGTGGAGCTGATCAGAGAAGTGTGTCTAGATCTGCCGGTAGCGTGTCTCAGGGCTGTCTCAGATCGTCTCTGAGCATTCGCAGATTGGAGTGTCTCTGAACTGCCTCCGAGCTGCCTCCGAGCTGCTTCTTGCACCGCATCTAGCGGCCCCCACGTGGTTGACGAGGTCGATCCCAGGCACGAGGGCGAGGGGCTTGCCGTCGCCAGAGTGGGCGCGGCTCAGAAGCACCGCCTGCGCCCAACGGAACGCGCTGCTACCCACCTTGTCCACCCCTCAGCTAGGTCTCCGGCTAAGTGTCGGTGATGGGAGAACCGCCTGAGCCCAGCGGAATGCGGCCCGCTCCTCGCCCGCCCCGCCGCCGCCCGCCGCCCCGCCGCCCGCTGCGGCAGAGTGCACGCTGTCGGAAAGTGCCGCCTGAGACAGCTCCGAGACGGTGCTGAGACGGTGCCGAGAGGGTGTGTCTGCTGTGGCGGAGCCGCCTGAGAGACTGACGCAGGGCCGGCGCTGGTCCCTCGGAGCAGTGCGTCTCGCAGCGGCGGCGGCCAGAGCAGAGGCACGTCCGGGACCGGCAGCGCGGACACGTACGGCGAGGACTCGCTCCGCCTCTGCGCGGCGAGGGCGAGGGCAAGCAGCGCGGCGTCGGCGAGGGCGGCGCCGGCGCCGAGCGAGGCGGCAAACGCGTCCGTGCGAGTGGCGACGGCGTTGCCGGCCGCCTCCCGCGCCGCCGCCGCGGAGAAGGGCCGCCACGCTTGCGGAGGGACGGAGAGCGCCACGTCGCCCGCCGCGAGGTCGCGGGCGGCGGCGAGGCCGCAGCCGGCCGGAGAGACCGCGGAGAGCTTCACGCCCGCGAGCCGCGCGTGCTGCCCTAGCCAAGCGAGTTGCCGCGCCGCGCTGTCGTAGTGAACGCGGGACATGCAAAGTCGCGCGCGGCGAGAAAACTAAAAGCAATCACGACACAACTTTCTTCATGCCAAGCGAGCGGGAGGGAAGTGGACGGGGCCCTGAGCCGACCTAGCCCAAACGGAATGGGCGCCCAACACGTGCCCGGATTACTGTGCCTTCCCGGGCACAGCCTTTCGGCTCGTGAAGGGTCGGTGCGTGTCGTGACCCTCTGAAACACCCGTACCCCCGCACCATCTCCGTCGCTTGGTTATTCAACCTTCACCACCACCGGGAGGCGGCCAGGGCTTCATAGACTCGGTCGAGAGACCCCAGATTGGCATCCACGCTTTTCTGGAAAGGGTGGCCCGCCACAACGACCCCTGGCATTGCGACTCGCCGCTTTCCTCCCGCTGTGATTCTGCTGTTTGCCAACAATACACCTAGGAATAGACCTACAAACATACACCTAGGAAAAGAAACGCAAATCGCGAAATGCTCGCCTCCGCCCGCTACGAGCTGCGGCTCGCCGCTCTTCCGCCCGATGCCCTGATCGCGATCACCGCCGGCGCCATGCGGGACAGCCCCGCTGCAAACAGGAGGGCCGAGGCGCTCCTCGCCCACCACAGCCCTCCGCCCGCCGTCGCGACCGACGTCCTCGCGGACCCAGACCTTGCGCCGTGCGTGCTCGAGAAGACGGGCCTGCGCCACGCGGCCGTGTGCAAGCGGTGGTCCCTGATCTGCGCGCCGCGCGGTGCCTTCGCGCGGCTGGTGGAGACCGCTGGCGATGCCTCCTCGGAGCTGCAAGCTGCTGCGCTCGGAGAGCTCAAGCGGCTGTCGGGAGAGGAGGCCAGCAACAGGCGGGTGGACGCGCTCGTCGCTCTCTTGCGTGTTGAAGGCGAGGACGAGAAGGCGGACGTCGCGGCAACGCTTCAGGAGCTTGCCCGGGACGACGATGAGAGCAGGGTGGCGATTGCTGCGGCCGGCGGCGTGGAGGTCCTCGTCGCATTGGCTCGGGATGGGAATGAGGCGCAGAAGGAAGAAGCGGTGGGGGCGCTGTGGTGCATCGCTATGAACGACGACAACAAGGCGGCGATTGTTGCGGCCGGCGGCATTGAGGTCCTCGTGTCACTGGCTCGCGACGGGAATGAGGGGCAGAAGGAGAATGCGGCGGGAGCGCTGTGCAACCTCTCTGCCAACGACGACCTCAAGGTGGCGATAGCTGCGGCCGGCGGGCTCGAGGTCCTCGTCGCGTTGGCACGTGACGGGAATGAGGCGCAGAAGGAGGATGCGGCGGGGGCGCTGTGCAACCTCGCTTACAACGACGACAACAAGGTGGCGATAGCCGCGGCCGGCGGCATCGAGGTGCTGGTGTCGCTGGCTCGCGACGGGACTGAGGGGCAGAAGGGGCGTGCGGCGGGGGCGCTGTGGAACCTCGCTCACAACGACGACAACAGCGTGGCGATTGTTGCGGCCGGCGGGATCGAGGTGCTTATTGCGCTGGCTCGCGATGGGAATGAGATGCAGAAGGAGAACGCTGTGTCAACGACGACAACGAGGCGGCGATTGTTGCGGCCGGGGGCATCGAGCTGTTCGTTGCGCTGGCTCGCGACGGGAATGAGATGCAGAAGGAGAATGCGGCGGGGGCGCTGTGGAACCTCGCTCACAACGACGACAACAGCGTGGCGATTGCTGCGGCCGGCGGCATCGAGGTCCTCGTGTCGCTGGCTCGCGATGGGAACGAGGGGCAGAAGGAGATTGCGGCGGCGGCGCTGAGGAACCTCGCTTACAACGACGACAACAAGGCGGCGATTGTTGCGGGCGGCGGCATCGAGCTGTTGGTTGCTATGGCTCGCGATGGGACTGAGGCGCAGAAGGAGAATGCTGCGGGAACGCTGGCGAACCTCGCTATCAACGACGAGAACAGCGTGGCGATCGCGGCGGCCGGCGGGATCGAGGTCCTCGTCGCGTTGGCGCGTGATGGGAATGAGGCGCAGAAGGAGCGCGCGGCGGGGACGCTGTGCAACCTCGCTTACAACGACGACAGCAGCGTGGCGATCGCGGCGGCCGGCGGCGTGGAGGTCCTCGTGTCGCTGGCTCGCGACGGGACTAAGGGGCAGAAGGTGCGTGCGGCGGGCGTGCTGAGGAACCTCGCTATGAACGACGACCACAAGGTGGCGATTGCTGCGGCTGGCGGCATCGAGGTCCTCGTGTCGCTGGCTCGTGACGGGAATGAGAGGCAGAAGGAGCGTGCGGCGGGGGCGCTGTGGAACCTCTCTGACAACGACGACAACAGCGTGGCGATCGCAGCGGCTGGCGGTGTGGAGGTCCTTATTTCGCTGGCTCGCGATGGGACTGAGAGGCAGAAGGAGGAAGCGGCCGGAGCGCTGTGCAACATGATTGAGGCAGCACCTGGCACGCACGAGGGCGTCGTCGAGGCTGGCGGTGTGGCGGTCCTCTCCTCTCTCACGCAGGAGGCAAGTGCCTCGGATGACTGCAAGTTCGCTGCTGCCATGTCCCTTATGTACCTGGCCAGCACCTGTCCCGACCTCGCGGCTGACGACACTTGCCTCTCGCTGCTCCTCTCGCGGCTGGACCAGCCCGAGGAAGATGGCTGGCGCAGAGACAGCATCAACGCCCTCCTCGCCCTCGCAACCTCCTCGTCTGCGTGCGCTGAGCAGTGGCACCGGGTCGGCGGCGTTGCGGCGCTGCAGGCGCTGGCGCGAGAGACGGCGGAGGAGGGGGTGGAGAGGCAGGCGGAGAGGTGCAACCAGGCGCTAGTCAGCCTCGGCGTGAGGAGGGTGCGCAGGCGGACGGCCGCGTGATAGTGAGCCTGGTCATGGGCGGCCGTCTCTGTGCTAGTGTGTGCAGCGCCAAACCTGGGAGACTCCCTCGGGGCTTCGTGAATTATTTTGTCCATGGCCGTTGGGAGTTGGCGGGCGCCGACCACCTACTCGCTCAACAGCAATTGATTGATGGGAAGGCGAAACACAGTGTCCGACCAACGACTGGGACACCAACGCGGTATGGGTGGACGCAAGACGGGCGACGACGGTCACACAGGAGCGACACACAGAACCACAAGACAAGACACTCAGCCAACGTGTGGCTGCCACACATCCTGAGGGAACTTCCCTAGTCACCCGCGGCCGGACTCCATCCGGCACGCGTCGCTGGGCGCTCAGAGCTACGTCCCCTGCTCGCCACCCCGACGCCCAAGGCGCCCGAGCGAACGACAGGCGGCACGCGAAGACTGGTTGCAATCCCGCCGCGTGAGTGAGCGCTTTTGAGTCTTCGTTGTTTAGGCGCCCAGAAAAAGAATTTTAAGCTTCGCGACAAGAAGAATTTTGCAAGAGGAAGGAAAAAGAACTGGCTCCTTAAAAAGAACTGGCTCCTTCCCTCCCTGTCACCACACTCCAGAGGAAGTCGGGAAAAAGAAAATCGGCGTAGTTGGCGTGCGTCCATCCGGGCGACTGTGTTCTGCGGACATACATGGGTGCTTGTGCGTCGTGCGCCCAGGCGAGCACCGACGACGTGCCACCGCCAGCGGAGGCCGACCCTGCCGCAGCGGAGGCCGCCCTGAACACGAAAGGACCGCCGCCTTCAGTGTTGTCGTACCCCATCGGCACGCCAGGGCAGCCGTGGGGCGAGGCTGAGCGTAAGAGTTGGTACCAGAGGGCATCGAGCACACAGCGGTCGTATGAGGAGGATGTCGTCTCCAGAGTGATGGCCCTCGAAGACAGGTTTGAGGTCGTCCTTTACGGTAGGCTGTATGATCGCTATTCGCTCTTTGCGGTCAGGAGCAAGCAGTGGGATGCAAGCAAGCCCTGCTGCTTGGTCTCCGGCGGCGTTCATGGCTACGAGACTAGTGGCGTCAAGGTGTGCCCCACACGAGTGTGTAGACCGTTACAGGTTGCCACCGCCACCCCCGCGTCGGCTGCAGGGCGCACTCCTCTTTCTGGAGACTCGAGCCCTCGACTACGCCGACACGTTCAATCTGCTCGTGCTGCCGTGCGTCAGCCCCTGGGGATACGAGAACGTCCAGCGGTGGACGCCAAACGCGGTCGACCCCAACCGCGCGTGGGGCGCGCTCGCGGCGGTCTCGTGCGACGAGGCCAACGCGGCGTCGGCGCTCGTCGCATCGCTGGGCGTCGAGAAGTGGAAGTGCCACATCGACCTGCACGAGACGACCAACACCGACGCCACCGAGTTCACGCCCGCCCGATGCGCGCGCGATGGGACCGCGTTCGAGGAGGACGAAATCCCCGACGGCTTCTATCTCGTCTGCGACAGCGAGAGGCCTCAGGGCGGGTGGGCGGCCGCGGTCATCGATGCGGTCCGAAAGGAGACGCACATCGCACCGGCCGACGCAAACGGCGAGATATGTGGCGAGTCAGTCAGCCAGGAGGGCGTAATCCTGGTCCCGTTCAAGAAGGTTGCGGTATGCGCGTGTATCGCCGACGCCGATTTCGCCACGACGACCGAGGTCTATCCTGATTCGGTCACATCAACCGCCGAAGAGTGCAACCGCGCGCAGGTGGCGGCGGTCAGCGGTGGGCTCGACTACATCCGGCGCAGCGCGCTCTGACTTCAGCGGTGCTCAGTGGGCCTCGGTGGTGCTCGAGGCGGCAGCGGCGCGCGGCGCGGGTTCGTATTTCTTTCGCCTCTGCCTGTGATATCTCCGCCTGCACCTGCACGCCGACATGTGCAGCTCGTCCTCGCCGCCCTCGCGACGCCCTCGGTGCGGTCGGTGCTCGGCTCGCGGGAAACGCCGCCTCTCGCGCCCGGTAAGCAAAACACCACGCGCGCGACCGCACCACCGCGCACCGGCAGGACGATGAAGTCCGCTGCGCCGAGCTTCTTCAGTCTTCAGCTACCAAGACCATGGCCTACCTTGCCTCCGAGGAGGCGCGCGACCGCAACCCCGTAACCTTGCCCTTCCTCAAGCCGTGGCTGCGTCGCTGGTCGAGCACAAGGACAAGTAGCACATCACCCAAGACGCCGCCTCCCAGCATCCGCGCCTTTACAAACGGAGCGGGGAACTGTGAAAATTCCGCTCGGCGTATCATTCTGAGCCGACTCTGCGAGTTCGCACCATTTTGCTTCGTTTGTCGTTTTAGAAAAAGTTGTCATTCACCATATTACGCATTATGTGCAGAGGGGGAAGGGACCCAGGGACACGCCGCGACGCCGGCCGGGGCCGCCGGGCGCTCGCGGCTCGGGCCAAAAGGTACAACACGTTTAAGCGCGGGGGACCCTCTGCTCATGCTCTGGCCTTTGCCCCTCTGGGGCAGTCTGCTGTCTGGCACGCGCGTCACCTCGCTGCAGAAGGTGCCCTTTTTGGTTCGGGTGAGGGCTGAACGAGTAAAATACATGAGCACATCGTCATAGTAAATCTGGGTCAAAGTACTCGTCCCGGTCCTGCGTGCAGAGCGAGAACCAGAGCACGATAGCGACCGGCCCCCACACGAGCCAGACGAAGGTGTCGCCGAGCTGGCCGAGCGCGAGGTCGACCTCGCCGAGCAGCCGCTGGTACGGCGGGGACAGCTCGCACAAGCAGAAGAGCGCCTTTGCGTCGAGCGGCTCCTCGGCCGGCCCGAGCAGCGCGGCGCCTACTCACACACCGAGCCGTGAAGAGGCGCTCCTCACAGGCACGCCGCCCGCCGCGCCTCCGCCCGCCGCGCCTCCGCCCGCCGCGCCTCCGCCCGCCGCGCCTCCGCCCGCCGCGCCTCCGCCCGCCGCGCCTCCGCCCGCCGCGCCTCCGCCCGCCGCGCCTCCGCCCGCCGCGCCTCCGCCCCACTCGGACGCGTTTGCCTCGCCGGCCTCCCACCAGCTGGAGCCGTAGCAGGCGCTGTCCACTGCCTCGCTCGGACGCGTCGAGCCTGAGCACGCCACGAGGCTGTGAACACGAGGCTGTGAAGACGAGGCTGTGAAGAGGCGCCCTTCACGTTGTGAACACGAGGCTGTGAAGACGAGGCTGTGAAGAGGCGCCCTTCACGCCTCCCTCGAGCCTCCCTCCCTTTCGAGATCTGGCCGAGGCGCGCGAGGGGGGAGGAGAAGAGAACACAGCCTCGGGCTGATCTCGCCTACCTCTCGGCTACCCCTCGCCGAGGTGCGCGAGGCAGTACCCGTTGACCAGCCGAGCAAAGCTCGTGCCTCCTCCTCCCGCCTCGCCTCCTCCCGCCTCGCCTCCTCCTCCCGCATCGCCTAGCAGCGGGACCGCCGGGCAAAACACCGCGTAGCCCTCGTCCCCGCCGCCGCCCTCGCCGCCGCCCTCGCCGCCTCCGGCCGTCGCCCGGCCGCCCCGCCCGCTGCCTTGCACCAGCCAGCCCCGCGCCAGCTGCTCTCGCTGCGAGCTGTCCAGCTGCTCGAGGACCGCAGAGAGGGAGTGGAGGCCCCCGCCGCCGCACGAGGCCCACTCCTGCTCGTACACACCTACCTCGCAGAAGGGCGACTCCTCGCCGCCTCCTCGCCGGGACTCGCCACTCTCCTCTGGTCTCTCCGCACCGCGCATCCGCGCCCACTCGCCAGGGGTGCCTCCGTACTCGTACCGCGCCTCGTCCGTCAGCTCGAAGCGCGCCGCGCGGCCCTCCTCCATCTCGTCGTTCCACGAGCTCGCGTGCGAGCGCGTGAGCTGCGCGAGCGTGAGCGTCGAGGCCGACAGGCAGACGAGCACGAGAAATGTGACCCAGCGCTCGCGCGAGAGGTAGGCGACGATGGAGCCGGCGACGGAGATCGCCACGAGGGTGCCGCCCACCGTCTGCACCGTCTTAGAAAGCTGCGTCTCCTCCTGGAAGATCTCGGCGCCCTTGATGGCGCGGTGCGCCGCGTCGTCCGGAAAGAAGCCCGCCTCACCGCGAAAGAAGATGGAGGCGGCGTACAGGAAGAGGAGCGCACAGAAGAGCTGGATGGTGCCCTTGAGCGACGTGCCCTTGCGGCGAAACTCGTCCGGCGTGAGGCCCATGCCGGCGTTTTGGTGGTGGCGCAGAACCGTTTCTTTTTTTGCTTATTTTTTTCGATTATGTCCATTTTAGCCGCCGCCGCGCTCTCGCAAGACGCGCCGCCGCCCGCCCGCCTCCTCGACCTCCCCACGGACCTCCTCCTGCGCGCCCTCTCTCACTGCGAGCCCGCCGACATCGCTCGCGTCGCGGCCGTCTCGAACCTCTTTCACGCCTCCCTCGCGGAGGAGGCCATCCGCTTGTGGGCGCAAGAGCGCGGCCTCGAGCTGCCGGCGCTGCCAGAGGGCGAGGGCTGCGCCGTGCGGTGGCTGTGCTTCTCGGCGTTGCTGCGCGAGGCCAACCCGCCGGCGAGGGCGGCGGCAGGCGTTCGGCACAGCCTCTTCATCGAGGGCGAGGGGCGGCTCTCGTCGTGCGGGACGGCTCAAGAGCTCCTCGGCCACAGCGAGGGCGTGACGCGGCTCATCACGCCGACCCGCCTCCCTTCCACGCTGGGCGAGGAGCGCGCTGTGAGCGTGGCGGCTGGAGGCCAGCACAGCCTCGCCCTCACCGCCGACGGCAGCGTCTGGAGCTGGGGCCGTGGAGGAAGAGGCCAGTTGGGCCACGGCGACCACCAGAACCAGTGGCAGCCAAAGAAGATCGAGTTGTTGGCTGACCAGCGCGCCATCGCTGTGTCGGCTGGAGGGTACCACAGCCTCGCCATCACCGCTGACGGCGCCGTCTGGAGCTGGGGCTATGGAGCCGTTGGCCGGTTGGGCCACGGTGACGAGCAGAGCCAGCTGCTGCCGAAGAAGGTGGAGGCGTTGGCTGACCAGCGCGTCATCGCTGTGTCGGCTGGAGAGAACCACAACCTCGCCCTCACCGCCGACGGCGCTGTCTGGAGCTGGGGCTGGGGAGCCTATGGTCAGCTGGGCCACGGCGACGCGCAAGACCGGCTGCTGCCGAAGAAAGTTGAGGCGTTGGCTGGTCAGCGCGTCGTCGCTGTGTCGGCAGCAGAAATGCACAGCCTCGCCCTCACCGCCGACGGCGCCGTCTGGAGCTGGGGCAGTGGATTCTTTGGCCAGTTGGGCCACGGCGACACGCAGCGCCAGCTGCTGCCCAAGAAGATCGAGGCCTTTGCTGGCCAGCGCGTCGTCGGTGTGTCGGCTGGAGTTGGGCACAGCCTCGCCCTCACCGCCGACGGCGCCGCTTGGAGCTGGGGCAGTGGAGGCTTTGGCAGGTTGGGCCACGGCGACATGCAGAACCAGCTGCTGCCCAAGATGGTCGAGGCATTGGCGGGGCGGCGCGTCGTCGGTGTGTCGGGTGGAGTCGGTCACAGCCTCGCCACCACCGCCGACGGCGCCGTCTTTACCTGGGGTGAGGGCGGCCACGGCTCCCTAGGCCACGGAGAGGACCTGTCGAACCAGCTGCTGCCCAAGAAGGTCGAGGCGTGGGCTCCGGGGCAGTGATGAAAAGGGCGAAAGGGTGCGAGGCTGGTGAGAGGCGAAGTCGAGTCTCGAGACGGAAGAGACTTACGATCGGGTCGCCTGGCACCTCTAGGCCTGTCAAGGACGCGGGCTGTGATGTTGGGCGTTTGTGAGGAGATTGAATAGCCCGAGGGAGGAGTCACAAACACGTGTATGGGAGGTAAAGATGTTGCGTCACGCTGCCGGCTTCCCGGAGCGACGGCGCACATTAAAATAAACGGGTCACAAAAAAGAAAGAAAAGTCCGCTGGGTGGGTCCTCGCCTCAGCCGGGCCGTGGGGTGGGGGGTTGTTCTAGGGGTTGTTGAGTATATGAGGAGGGTTGCTCCTGACTCTGGCCTTGTCTGGGTCACGTAGCCACACCTCGCCTCCTTGGTGCGAGTGGCTGCCAGTTCGACTCTGGGGAGGATCGAACCAGGGGTTGAAGGAGAAAAACGCTCCACAGCTGCTCGCCGCCTGCTGGCTCAGCTCGGCGTAGGCAGCAGGCAGCGAGGATGGTGGAGCTCGACCTCTACATGGAGCACCCTGCCGTCACGGCGATGAGTGCCGACGAGGCGGCCGCCTGGCGCCGGAAGCACCGCGTGCAGGTCTCGGGCGGCACCGCGCCCAAGCCGGTCCGCACATTTCTCGAGGCAGCGTTCCCCGAGTTCCTGACGGCCGACATCGAGGCGACAAACTTCCGCGCGCCGACGCCGATCCAGAGCCAGTGCTGGCCCGTCGCGCTCAGCGGGTGCGCCGCCCGCGCTCGCCGCCGCCGCCACTGCGCACGCACCGCGCACGGCACCCGCGCCTTCGCGGCGCGAGTCACTTCGCGGCGCGTCGAGTCCGTGCACACCGCGCGCCGCAGGTGCGACCTCATCGGCCTCGCGGCGACCGGCTCGGGCAAGACCCTCTGCTTTGCGCTGCCCGCGATCACGCACATCGTCGCGCAGCCGCGGCTGCAGCCGGGCGACGGTGCCATCGCGCTGATGCTGGCGCCGACGCGCGAGCTGGCGCTGCAGATCAAGGGCGAGTGCGACGCGTTTGGAGGGCCGAGCGGCGTCACAAACACCGCCATCTACGGGGGCGTGCCAAAGGGGCCGCAGCAGCGCGACCTCCAGCAAGGCGTCGGGAGAGATCGTGATTGCGACGCCAGAGGCTCGAGTGGGAGCAGCGACTCTTCACGGGTGTGTGGCGGAGAGTAGGGGTCGAGATCGTGATTGCGACGCCCGGCCGGCTGCTCGACTTTATGGAGGCTGGCGTCACCAACCTCCGCCGCGTCTCCTTCCTCGTCCTCGACGAGGCGCGAGATGCAGCCGAGATGCAGCCGAGATGCCGCCGAGATGCAGCCGAGATGCAGCCGAGATCTAGAGCCGAGATGCAGCCGAGATGCAGCCGAGATCTAGAGCCGCGATCTAGAGCCGCGGGCCCTTCTCCTTCCTCGTCCTTCGACGAGGCTGGGCCGCATACTCGGCTCCCGGCTGTGAGCACTCCCGACTGTGAGCAGCCTCTCTTCACACCTCCGACTCAGGCGGACCGCATGCTCGACCTCGGCTGATCAATTATTAATTAATTAATTGACATTGGTTAATTAATAACTATTACCAGGCGGACCGCATGCTCGACCTCGGCTTCGAGCCTCAGCTGCGCCGGATGGCGGCGCAGCTCCTTCCACAGAGGCAGACCCACCCCTCTCTTGTCGGCGACCGGCACGACCCTTCTCGGAACCGTCTCGGCACCTCCCCCGCAGGCAGACCCTCCTCTTCTCGGCGACTTGGCCGCGAGAGGTCGCCTCCCCCGCACCCTCCTGCGACCCCGTCTGGCCACCACCAGCGTTTACTGGTGCGTGATGCGACACCAGGTCGCATCTCTCGCCCGCACCATCCTCCGCGCCGACGCGCTCACCGTGCAGGCGGATGCCGCGCCTGCCATGCACAATGCTGTGCACTGTGTGGCATCAGGGTGTGATGTCGCTCGTCCAGGCGGACGCCGCCGCGGAGCTGCGCGTTGCCGACACCATCGAGCAGCACTTCGAGGTGTGCGGCGGGGCGGAGCGGCTCGGCGAATCTCGGCGAATCTCGGCGAATCTCGGCGAATCTCGGCTAAGCTCGGCGAAGCTCGGCGAAGCTCGGCGATTCTCGGCGGAGCTCGGCTGAGCTCGGCGAGTCTCACAGGTGTGCGACGAGTCGGAGCGATTGGGCCGCTTCCTGCGGCTGCTGCCGCAGGTGAGCGAGAATGGGCAGGCGCGCGTCATCGTGTTTTGTGCCGCGCGGTGAGGGGCTAGCCGAGACCTAGCCGAGACCTAGCCGAGACCTAGCCGAGGTGCGGCCGAGCTGCGGCCGAGCTGCGGCCGAGCTGCGGCCGAGCTGCTGGCGCGGGCGGTCCCTCCGAGGCGCGAAGCGCGCCTGTTCACGGCGCCTGTTCACGGCAGTGCGTGAACACCAGGCGCGGCTGCGAGGCGATCCGCAACGAGGTGCGGCGGCGCGGCATCGGCGCGGAGGCGCTGCACGGCGACAAGTCGCAGCACGAGCGGGACTGGGTGCTGCAGCAGTTCAAGCAGGGCGCGGCGCCGGTGCTGGTGGCGACCGACGTGGCCTCGCGCGGGCTCGACGTGCAGGACGTGCGCGCCGTGGTCAACTACGACGCCCCCTCGCAGGCGGAAGATTACGTGCACCGCGTCGGCCGCGCGGGCCGCGCCGGGGCGAGCGGGCGCGCCTACACGCTGCTCACCTCGGCCAACGCGGCCTTCGCGCGCGAGCTTGCGGCGATGCTGCGCCGGCAGGGCGCGCGCGTGCCGCAGGAGCTCGGCTGGCTGGCGAGCAGCACGCGCGGCGGGGAGCAGTCCCACCGCCGCTGGAGGTCGGACGACCGCGGGCACGACCGGCGCTGAGGCGCCCCGCCTGAGCCGCGCCAATAGCTTTAGTCTCGAGAGCGAATACGGTTTGTCGGGCTGGTTTTCTTAGGGGGCTGGGGGGGAGGGGGGAACAGGCCCTGCCCGGGGCCCGGCCCCAAAGCGCCAGGTCTATGAGGTAAATAAGGCCCAGTGTGTGGCCTAGCCCTCGGGGCTATAAACCCAGGATTACCAGGGAAAAAGAATCCCTATCGGGCAAGCCACACATTCGGAGATAGCCGCGCAGCGGCTATGTAGGTTATCCAACAACGTGAGGAGAGGGGAACAGCAAGCATATCACGTAAACGCCGAAAGCGCGTCGCCGTCGGCTCGCAGCTTTGGGCCGCTTGCTCAACCCCATCGTCCGAGTCGTGCGCAATCTCGCGTGATGACATCTCGCCCTGATCCCACGCCAGTGGGGCAGGCGCATCATATCGTCAGCGATGAGTGCACACGGAGCACCTCCTGTCGCACGACGCGCACTCTGTCCCGTTGCGAAACTTCCCCGCCGGGCAGGCCGAGACGCACGAGCCGGCTCCCGCCTCGCTGGCATCGGCGGCCGGGTCCAGAAGCGGCGTGATCCCGGCTGGGCAGCCACGCGGTGAGCTCTTACAGGGATGCGAGGCGCACGCGATGCACATGGAGGAGCCCGGGCCTGTGCACTCCAGGCATGAGGCGTGGCAGTCCTCGCAGAGGCCCTCGCTGCCCGCATACGTTGCCGCGGGACACGACGAGACGCAGGTGAGCCTCGAACCGTTGAGGGCAGCGTCAGGCACGCGGTTCGGGCGGGTGAGAGGACATGCTGTGCAGGAGCCGCTCACGTCACATGACACGCACGCCGATGGGCAGCGCTGACAGGTGCCATCGGTAGTATTGGCAGCCGGCGCCATTGAGAACCAGCCGACGCCGCAGCTGTCGAGGCACCGCCCCTCCTTGCGGAAGGGCTTGTCGGACGCGCACGTAGTGCAGTTGGCCGCCAGCGGGCCGTCGCAGAAGAGGCAATCCTCGTGGCAAGTCTGGGCGGAGCACGTGCAATCGCCGCCGCCACAGCCGGCGGGGGTCGTCCACCCGTCGTGGCACGCGCAGGCGGCGCTGCCGTCGGGTCCGCGCGCGCAATCGCCGTGGCCGCAGGTGAGCTCGTCACAGGGGTCCGCCTGCTCGATCTGCAGCTTCACCTCCGACCCAAAGAACGACTCCTCCAACGCCCTGCCGCCCAGCCCTCGCCCCGCGAGCCGGCGGCGGCGTCCCGAGTCGGGCACGACCGACGCGATGCGCACTCGATTGGGCGGGATCCCAAACAATGCCACGATGTTGCGCACGAGCGTATTCGGGTCGAAGAACTCGTCGACGCCAACCTCCTCGTTCACCCGGATTGCCAGCATTATCACTGGAAGGGTGCGGATGGTCAGCCCGCCGGCGGTCGAGCCTCGGGTGCCGCAGACGACAAAATACAGCTTGTTCTCCCATGCGACAAACATGTTGGTCCCCGGCGGGTCGGCTGCCGTTGGGCGTGTCACCGTGTCGAAGTCATGTGAGGACGGGTGCTGCTGCGGCACATCAACGCCGTGCCACGAGACAACGAGCTTCTGCACGGGCGGGCAATACGAGAAGGTGAGAGGGGAGAATATGCACGGTATATTCTGACGACACGGATGACGGCTGCTTTGGGCGGTGGCTTGTGGACTGACTGACAGAGCTTGCCGTCAGAGCGTGCTGAAGAGCGTGCTGTGGTGTGTCGGGCGTGTCGGAAATGTCTCTGTACTCCGCATCGCTCTCCTCAACGAACACGCCTCTCGGCGAGGCGCCTCGGTGTGAGTGCTCTGTGCCGTGCCGGACGATCAACGATTTGGCCGACCCGTATGGCAGCTCGCCCACTTTAGCGACGACAACCCTCGCGAATGCGAGCGGGCAGATCATGCCCTTTGCCGCACCTTCGGCGCTCACGCCGTACGCACCGTCTTCGATGCAGTCGGGGAAGATGCCCTTGCTCTCGAGCAGCGAGTTCTTCGGGACCACGCTGTGGCCAACCCGCCCACTAAAAGAGCCGTCCAGGTCGACCAAGATCATGCCCGACTCCTCGGCCGCCGCGCAGGAGCACCCACAGGGCGTCTTTAGGCCGGAGAAGGCCACGCGCGAGCCGGAGCGCACCCACGTTGTGCCCGAGAAGCGCATCTCCCAGCCACCCTCCCCAGACACGCCAGCCCGGGGGAGCTGCTTGCCACAGCCGCCGCTGCCGCCCGCCCCGAGGTTGCCCGCGCCCGCAAACTTGACAAAGGTGGCGTTGCGAACCAGCATACGGGGGTAGTCTGGGGCACTCAAGCCCCGCGACACCGCGGCGACCTCGACGCTCGGCGACGGAGAGCTCGGCTGGAAGGGGGCGTATGCTCGCTTCGGCAACACGGAGCCCGGGCTGCTCAATCTGGTCAAAGGGCGCGGCAAGTACTCGCCGTCGGGAGCGACGGCAGCGGCGGTGGCGGAGGAGGAGGACGAGGAGGAGGAGGAGGCGGAGGCGGAGGAGGTAGGGGAGGGGGAGGATGCGGACGCCCCCAAGGGAAAGCTCAAGGAGCTGGATGGCGATTACCGCTTTGCGCGGGAGCAAGATTGCGATCTGCGTTTGTTCGACTTCGAGAGCTTCGGAGGCTTTGGAAAGGAGGTCCGCAGCACCCTGAAGCGCTGAGGGAGGCGGCGAACCAGCTGAGTGAGCAACAAACTTTCGCATGCCCAGCACCTGGACGAGGTCACATGGACAACCAAGAATTGGCACGGCCTGCAAATGCAGCGTTTGTCAGTCGTCCTCCACATCGCTGTGGCGTGGCAGACGGTGAACGAGCTAGCGTGCAGGAGAGCGGCATTGTGCATGGTGGTGCGGAGTGCATTGCCGTTCTTAACGGAGTTGCTTAGGCGGCTCCGGTGGTGAGCCGGTGTGTGTGCCAGTCCGCGCCAGTCCGCGCCCTTGTCGTGCCAGTGTGCTGTGACGTATTTTCTTCTCAATAACGTCGCTGTGAATAAAACCCCAAAGAGGCAGCCAAACCAGAGAGGTGTTTGGCGAGCGACTTGTTGTGCGGCCCGACGATGCGGCTCGGCGAGGCGCGGGAGATCCTTGGGCTGACCGCCGACTCGACCTCGGAGGATGCGCGGAAAGCGTACCGCAGACTCGCTCTGACCGCGCACCCCGACAAGTCCACGGCGCCGGACGCCACGGAGCAATTTCAACGCATCCAGGCAGATTGGGCGGGGCGGCGGGGAGGGAGGAGGGGGCGGGGGCGGCGGGGGGCGGTGTGGGCGGGACGCGCGTGGGCCCAGCGGGCGCCTTCGCCACTGTGGGCTCCTCGGGACCGGAGCGCCGCGCGGCACTCACCCGGCGCGTGCCGCACGCCCTCCCCGCAGGACGCCTTTACGCGCATCCAGGCGAGCGAGGAGTCGGGGCGCGGCGGCGGGAGCGAGGACGAGTACGACGACGACGACGACTACGACGAGTACTATGACGACGACTACGAGGTGCGCCGGGGACGGCGCGAGGCGCGCGCGCACCGGCCCCGCTCATCCGCCCGCTGCCCCCGCCGCAGGCGTTTGAGGAGGCGGCATTCATGTTCATGTTCGCCTTCGGCGGCAACCCGCCGGCTGGGTTCGGCGGCGCGCCCTTCTCCGCGCCCCCCGCGGGCGGCGGCCCCAAGGGCGGCTTCGCCACCGCCGGAGGATTCGCGTGTCCTGCGGAGACTCCGTGCGCGAACCGCCGCGAGGGAAGGCGCCGAGGCGGGCATGTGTCCACGACGCTGCACGGCGTGGCCGCTTAGGTGTGACTGCCGCGACTGCCGCGC